CAAGGTTTGATTTTAGCCAAATTTTAGTAAATTTATTTTGTCAAAACAATTGGTATCTTGAGCATTGCTGAGCCAACAGGACATCAAAGTAACAAGTTGTCTAAAGTTAATGTTACAGTACATTAACAAACAAATCATCCTCAGTCACAAAATTATAAATGCAGCTTAGGGTGGGACTAAAGTAGGAGGGGAGAGTTAAACCCAAACTACAGCAATTAAGTCCTGAAACCAACTTCTGAATAGGGCTGCTGATTATTCCTTTCATTTCTTCTTGTGACTTTTGTAAGAGTTAAAGAAAAAGGAAAGAAATATTAATCATGGCTGGCAGTTAAATACAGGTTTACTTTAGATAAAACCTGAGAGGGGCTTCTGGCTGATTTCAATCAGGAGCGCTTTTTTTTTTTTTTTTTTTTTGAGACGGAGTCTCGCGCTGTCGCCCAGGCTGGAGTGCAGTGGCCAGATCTCAGCTCACTGCAAGCTCCGCCTCCCGGGTTCACGCCATTCTCCGGCCTCAGCCTCCTGAGTAGCTGGGACTACAGGCGCTGCCACCTCGCCTGGCTATTTTTTGTATTTCTTAGTAGAGACGGGGTTTCACTGGGTTAGCCAGGATGGTCTCGATCTGCTGACCTCGTGATCTGCCCGTCTCGGCCTCCCAAAGTGCTGGGAGTACAGGCTTGAGCCACCGCGCCCGGCCGAGCGCTTTTTCTACAGACTAAGAGTATATATTGGTTTTAGGGTGAGGAGCTTATTACAATCTTAGAATGTTTCTTTGTGAGAGAAGTTTTATGGCAGGGTTGAAATGTCTCTGGGAGGAGGGGAAGTTATCTTGGAACAGACATCTTTCTGGCCAGAGGGAGGTTATCTTGAGGCTGGCATCTTCCTGGCCAGCGGGGACTTATCTTGGGGCTAGCATGTCTGTGACTGGGGAGGAGTTTGGGTTGTTTCTGGTTGGAGATGTTATTGTGGTTTATGGTTGCAGTGATCTTAGCCGTTAGGCTGATGACCTTTGGATTTAGGCAATTTTTTATTAAGGTGAACTTTAGAATGAGGGGCTTGTCCAATGCTCCTGCTCTGTCAACTTTGAGCTCCCTTGAATTTTCAGGAATGTCACAGCTGGTAATGTACTGCAATTTCTTGAAGTTACACGATATAGTCTGGCTAAGTTACATGTGGTTCCCATATTAGCTTGTTTGCAAGGGTGACTTTGCGGCAAAGCAGATTCAGTTGCCCCACAAGTCAGCCCCTTTGGAGTGATATGACTCTGACAACTGGAGGAAAACCAGGGTCCTTAGTCTCATGCCAATTTAGATAAAATGACACAGACACACGTGGAGTGGTTTTAAGGAGCAGAGAGTTTAATAGGCAAGAAAGAGGAAGGAAGAAGAAAACAGCTCCCCCTATACAGAGACAGAGGGGGCATTCAAACAAGGAAAAACCCCAAGTGCAGCAGAAAGTGGCTGCTTATATGAGGAGGCTGGAGGAGGTGGTGTTTGATTTGCATAGGGCTCAGGGGATTGATTTGACCAGGCATGTCGTTCATGTAGTCCACAAAAAAAAATGACCCTCCCATCCTAGCCTTTTATTATGCAAACGCAGGGCACCATGATGTTCTAACACATGGGGATATGGGGGGGTGGCCATGTTGCCAGGCACATGTGGAGGCAAGGGCAAGAAGAAGATGGTGGGAATCGTCATGTTTGGGTGGACCCAGTTTTTAATGGCCAGCATTTGCATATCAAAGCTTGCTGGCCCAGCTTTAAGAGCTGGGGCTTCCTGCTAGACAAAAAAACATTTCTGGAGCTACTTTAAAAGAAACAAAAACTTTCCAAGGACTCCTTTTTCTCTCTATCTGCCTAAAATGATTTCTTAATAACTCCTATAACATTCCCCACTGTGGAGATGTCACCCCAACTGCTGTTAGGTGGTTTTGGGCAATGACTCTTTCTGACTACTTCTTGCTTGAAAAGGGGCATCAAATGGGGAACAACAGCCAGGGCTCCTCCTGGGGTCAGTTTGAGGGTCCTCAGAAGAATGGCATGTCCATGCATAGTTCCATTAGCAGCACCAGTTGGAGTTTGATTACTTCTAGGCTAGAGGAAACAATTTGAGCTATAGTATTGAGTATACAGGGTCCAAATAGTAATACAAGACATATAAGCAAGAGAGTGCTTAATAAAGGGGTTAATCATTAAAGAGGGATTCATTAAAGAGGGATTGCAGCCACCCGAGGCTGAAGCCTGCATTTTCCCTGAGCCTGTCAATAATTTTGATTTGATCTTCAAGTACCTGTAGATTTTCCTCTACTTTAATAGAGGTGTTAATCCAGCAGCAGCATGTTTCATTTAAAAGTGCACAGGTACCTCCTACTTCAGCTGTAAGGACATCTAAGGCCCATCTATTCCATGCTACTACTGAGGCTAAAGAGTCTATGGGTAGTGTGCTTCTATGGCTCCTACTGTTGCCTTCCATCCTTGTTGCATCATAATGGCAAGGAGAGGAATACCAGCAAACCAGAAGAGACCTTTGGTTATAGAATTCCCTATTCATGGTCTGAGATGGGATTGTCATGTGCATGCTCTCTCCAATCTTCTCTTTCAGTTAAATCTCCATATGAGGGCATGAAAATGACAGATCTCTTTGTTCGGCATGTCTGAGATAGTACACTTTCTAAAAAGGAGCCTGGGTTAGGGATGTCTCCAGATGATGTGGCCATGTCACAGGAATTTAAAAATAAGTTGGAGAACATTGCTGCTATAGTGCGGTTCCTTAGTGTTATTGAACTGAGCAAACTGCTCAGGACAGATCCAGCAATTAGTCTTATTACAAATGGGCCATGGCTGATATTGTAGGAGCTAAAAGGTATGATGTATCACTAAACCCAATAAAAAGTCCTAGCAGACTCAGTTGGAGAATTTCCCTTTGGAGGTCTATGAAGTTCTTTGGTTTTATTTTCCCAAACAAAGAAACCTCTGGGTTATGGGCACCCTATTCACTTTCATTACCTGGCAGAATTTGCAGGATAATTGCCCAGAACTAGCATATTGATCCACATTTTTACATTACCCATCCCTTTTTGTTCCTTCCAAGCTGCAGGAGATTGCCACTGAGATCGCGCCACTGCACTCCAGCCTGGGCGACAGAGAGAAAAAATAGAAAAAAAAAAAAAAAAAAATTAATGAGACTAGGATTTAATGACAAATGTGTGGTAAGCTTTGGAGCACAATTTCTCTCTCCAGTCCTCATTTTTGGTAAAAACAAATTATGATAAGACTGTGTGTGTTGTTTGTAGAATAAACTTTAGTCTTATACTTGGCCTGATTATTTGCATAAAATGCAGCAAAGCAAGAATGGTTATTTCTACATAGGCCTTTTAGATTGACCTTGATGGAACTCTGTTCCACAAGGAATCTCAGGTAAGACCTTTAAAGCCAAGCTCAGCCATGGGTTTGTATCCTCAAATACCTGTGAGTTAAGTGATCCTCTCCTCTTGAGGTCCTAAGATAAACTTGGAGCTCCTGGACTTGTTAGAAAGTGACATTCTTTACTGACCACAGGTTAAGAACACTGTGTGGGGACTATGTAGACAGTGTATGAGGCCACTTTTCTCCAAGGGGCTCTTATTGGCTCTGCATGTCAAGCTTGATTCCTTAAAGGGAAACACACCCTTTTAGTCAAAGCCTTGGTAAAATAACCAGATTTTCCAATTATGTCCTGTTGAAAAAGAAAAATGGATTCTTATTGCACTCACTGATGCAAACAACTATATTGCCATAAGCTAAGAGTACTCACAGATAGTTTCCGAATTCTAGAGGAACCAGGCAGAGAAAAACAAACATGCTTGAAATTTTGTTCACAGGAATATACCTTATTCAATTATTAAAGGTAGTAAATAGTTCAAAATAAGTTTCCTTGACTCTGAAAATCAAAACAAGGATCAGCAGTATTCCAAGCAAAAGTCAAAAAGGTTGCTTTAACTTTCTAAGTGCAGTCTATTTAGTTAACTCTTGTTTTGCTTGATATTTGTGAACGTGTCAGTTCTTTATGAGTCCTGTACATTCTTTCTCTCCTCCAATGTTACAATCTTTAAGGATATTAAAAACCTGCATTTGAGAACACCTGTTGAAGTCCTTAATATAACTTGAATATAAACTGTAAAATACCATATAATATCCTTTTTGAGTCTAATGTTTACAGATTTTGCAAGATTAATATTTTCAATCTTTCTATAACTTGTTTAAACCTCTAGCTCTATCTTATCAAATTTAACATAATCCCTCATCCCAGGGCAAAATTTACTTTTATCTGCTTTCTTGTAATCTTTTACTGAAAAAAAAAAACCCACATTTTACTGTTTTTATATGCCTTGCATATAAAACTGTTTGGTGATCTCAAATACATGTTGCACTGTTAACTTTTAACAACTTCTCTTTTTGGTGAAAAAACCTGGTTGGTAAATGATTTTAATTATGTACCAGGTGTGCATCCTAGGACCCAGACAGAAGTGCAGATAAAGTCTGACTTTTCAACATCTAGCTCCATGTGTCCCAGGCCTTACTTATCTGTAAAGCAGGCAGTGTACAACCTTGAAACATTTAGCAAACGTAGTATCTAAGTTGTATGATTTACACCACCTTTTTGCATTTTGATGGCACTTTCATTTTACCAGTAATCCTTAAGACTATTTTTATTTCTTAAAGTCATGTGAACTGAAAAGCATTTGATTTAAGGCACTTATTTTTCTCTCTTTTTTTTTTTTAATTATACTTTAAGTTCTAGGGTACATGTGCATAACGTGCAGGTTTGTTACATATGTATACTTGTGCCATGTTGGGGTGCTGCACCCATCAACTCATCAGCACCCAAACTGGTGGAGGTGCCGGGGTATTTTTCTTTAAGCCAATCAATTAGAGCTCTTTTTATAGACATTACACACAACACATATACAGCAACATGAACAGACAAAAGATTCAGTACTTGTAAGATTTTTTTTTGCCAGTTTCTTTTTTTTTTTAAAACCTCTGCAATTATTAGTTTATTAGTATCATCCAGGTCTCAGATGTTCAGTATTCCTCCTGAAATTACATAAACAAATGCAAATGGAAAGAATCCAAGTCAAAATTATATAACAAAAGAGCACTCCATCACAAAAGCATGTAAAATTACAAGAATGCTATTTTAAAATACTGACACTTTAAGAAAACGATAATCTCAAAAACCACAAAATTCTCAAATTGTTCCCTAAACTGCTAAGCAGATAATGACTAATGAATGAGTTTGTTTTGTAAAGAAAAATCATTCAAATAAATTGAATAATTCATACTGAGATGCAAAATTTCAGTGTCTTCTTTCCTCCTATCTACTTGGATTTATAAAGGGGCAAACCATAATATAGGAAAATACACCCTATTTTGAATGTGGCGTCTTCATTTTAAAAGCTGGCCCAATTAATTAAAAATTCTTGTAATGGAAAGTCTCATTTCCTGAGCAGTCCATATTTAGATAAATGGGAAAAGACATCTATAGCCAGCATTTTCATAGTCTTCACTGAGACTAATGTCAACAAAATATTTAATATGGCAGTCTTGTATTTTAAGCTCACGCTTTTGGGGATACATTCTCAGGTCGTCTTTAATGTGGGAACTGCAAAATATAACTGCCATTACATGGTAATGGGAGTTAAAGAATAGAGTCCTCATATAAATGTTAGAACATACTTTTCTATTAGTCCTTCAAGGACAGACTTTAAAAATGTTTGATTCTAATAATCCCATGCTTTGAGTAGATTGATTACTCTTCAGTTTGTAAATGTAAGTGGGCTATGTGAAATTTCTTAACTGATCAAGATTTTGGATGTTCAGTTATGGATGAAAACTATCTCAACTTAACTTTACCCCATTATGGTATGCAGGGTGTGTAGACAAAAGCTTTTTATTAGCTAACTATATGAAAGGATAAACGCTGTAATAATTCATATGATTCAAAATGGACAAAAGCAAAACACTAGCTTCCCCTCAAGAAGAAAAATTTTAGACCTATGAAAAGCACAACAATACTAATAAAAATAATTATATTTACTTAGAAGCATTCAGAATGTCAACTAAACAGCTGCAACTTTTTTTTTTTTTTTTTTTGCAATTACAGAGTGGTATTCAGTTAACAGAACAACAATTATTTCGCATGAGCTGCGTCAGAGACAACCGAAGATGAAAAAACTACCATCCCCATATATAACTAATTTGTGCTGTGCACCAACAAGAACCTGCTTTAAATTTCCATGCCAATGTACAACCCCCATAATGTACCAGGCAAGGTTAGTGGCTATTGAAAATACCACCAGGGCAGGGCTATCTAAAGACACATTTGGTAGTGTGTTAACTATACAAAAAAAGACACTGTACAGTTTAAAAACAAACCTTACACAGCCTTACGTTTCAATTTTTTTCTTTAAAAGGGGTGAGTTGTGTACAGGGGGGTTAAATGCTTTATAGACAAGAAGGAAACTGCGCTAGAACCAACTTATTCATCATCATCATCATCTTCTTCATCTTCATCTTCTTCACCTTCTCCTCCTCCTCATCCTCTTCATCTTCCTAATCTTCCTCCTCTTCCTTCTTTTTCTTGCTTTTTTCAGCCTTGACAACTCTCTATTTTGCTGCATCAGGCTTTCCTTTAGCTCGATATGCAGCAATATCCTTTTTGTATTTTTCCTTCAGCTTTGCAGCCTTCTTTTCATAAGACTGCTTGTCATCTGCAGCAGTGTTATTCCACATCTCTCCCAGAGTCTTTGCAACATCACCAATGGACAGGCCAGGATGTTCTCCTTTGATTTTTGGGCAATACTCAGAGCAGAACAGGAAGAAGGCTGAAGGAGGCCTCTTAGGTGCATTGGGATCCTTGAACTTCTGTTTTGTCTCCCCTTTGGGAGGGATATAGGTTTTCATTTCTCTTTCATAACGGGCCTTGTCCACCTTTGCCATATCTTCAAATTTTCCTTTCTCTTTAGCAGATATGGTCTTCCACCTCTCTGAGCACTTAGAAAACTCTGAGAATTTGACTGAAGCATCTGGGTGCTGCTTCTTATGCTCTTCCCGACAAGTTTGCACAAAAAATGCCTATGATGACATTTTGCCTCTCGGCTTCTTAGGATCTCCTTTGCCCATGTTTAGTTATTTTTCCTCAGCTAGGCACAGAGTCGCCCAGTGCCCATCCGACTCTCACTTGCCCCGGCACTGTCTCTATGGAGCTCAATGTACTGCAATCTTATTTGCCATTTTTTTAATTGGATTACTGGCTTCAGGGTGGAGCCCTTGGATGAACAGGGCCAGGTAGCATGCATTAAGAGTGGTAAGACAAAAAAAATGGAGAAAAGTAATTCCGTTGACTGAGAAGAAAAGAGTTTTCCCAGAAAAACAAGATCCAATAAGAGAAAAACATAAAGACCTTTAAAATATACTTATAACTTGAATATCCACTTTTAATTAAGCTGAGCATGCTTTAAGAAAATCCTTTGAAATCCTTTGTTACTCGACTTTAGCCATGCCAAGCACTTAAGATTTTTGGCTTTTGAACTTTACAAAAAATAACATCACGGGTGAAACCGACAAGACTTAATTAGGTTATGACTTAATCATGAGCATACAAGGCATTTTCAAAGGGGTGATAGGCAGCTTTTGAAACTGTCATTGCAAAATTTTGACAGAGACAGTGAAAGAGATCTGCCCCAAACAACTCCATTTCGTTTTCAGCCCCCAAGCTGTCCTTGCCCATCCCTGGGCGTAGGCTGAACCAACTTTGGGAGAAGCCTGGTTTACAGTTTATAGTCTAAAACAAAGATAATAAGAGCCCCTTTTTAAGATATACTCCCCTCTTTCCTGGGGACCAGACTAAGAAACTAAACTAGTCATAGAATTAGAAACCATGGCTTAGGAGTCATGCAGTTGGAGACTACAAGATTTTGACCCTCCCTAAACTGCTCTCAAGATCAGTGCTTAAGATATTTTGTAAGCCCTGCCCTTGATGGATTAGCTGGCACCACCCAGATTGACAAACTGGCTTATCTGATTTTGTGGAACTGACTTAGCACAAGAAAATGGCCACCATTGTAAAATGGTGGAGACTGAAAGAAAGCATTGCCACGTGGTTGCAGGTCATGTTCCCAAGGACATGAAATAAGATGGAGACCTGTAACCAAGTTTGTTACTGACTGTTTTGTTGGGCTGGCTCAAACAGCAGGCTTATGGGGTCCTGGTCCTGCATCGTAACCTAAGATACCCTTTTTTTTTTTTTTGACAAAACCATACAGAAAGACCTTCAAAGCACACCAGATTGTCTACAGCTTAGGACCAACTTTACAAATCCTTTTCCATTGATTATAAATTTACAGAGAATAGAAACAATGATTATTTTATCCCTTTTACTGGTTTGCACAGGGAGAGAGTAGCCAAAAGCCCAACTGGTAAGAAATTTTTACCTTTTGCCAGCATGTCAGGCTTCTGGGCTCCCTTTCCCCTTGTTCAACTCTAAGCCAAGCATTTTAAGGTTTGGAAAATTAACTTTTTCTAGGTTGGAAGAACATTATAAAAGAGAAAAAAGTCATTTTAAACCATAAAAGAAGGAAAAACACCATAGAAAGGAGTTCCAATTAGGGTTGTTAAGAAGTATTACCTCTCTTCCTATTGGGAATGGTGTTTCCCTTATTTTTTTGCCCTCCCTATTTTCTCTTTTCCCTTTTGGCCTACTATAGGAGACACATTGCTCATCTCCAAAATTATTTTCTGCTTGCAGAGCTGCCTGTTTTAGCTGCAGTTAGGGTTTGGCTTAGGAGCAGTGTAACATTCCTCCATGAGAGGTCAAATACCAGAGTTAAATTTTAGAAAACTTCTATATACCTATCAGGGTTGTCAGAAAATCAGCCTAAGTCTCCCTTTACTTGCCTAGGATTCTGCAATAAGAAGGGAACTCGAAGGGGCCCTAAATAAGGGAATCCTCAGATGGTTCCCCTGGAACTTGCTTCTCTAGTTTGGGGGAATTATTTTCCCTGGGCCTGCCTGATATGATTACTAAAAGAGCTGGGTTGATTTTACAGTGCTTGAAAAGATTTAGTAGAAATGCCATGCCCTTGTGCAAAAAAGAAAAAAAAAAGAGCTTTTTCTTTAAAGTTCTGAGGTTACGGAAGTTCCAGTGTTTCAGAGTGCACTCCAGAGGGGTGTAAGCTGAAGATAATTTATTACCCATTGTGGAAAAGTAAAAAGTTCCTCTTCAAAGCTTCCCTTCTTATTCAAGAATAAATAATAAATGTTAAAAATAATCTTTCTTTCTTTCCTTCTTTCTTTCTTTCTTTCTTTCTCTTTCTTTTCTTTTCTTTTCTTTTCTTTTCTTTCTTTTTTTTCTTTTTTGAGATGGAGTCTCACTCTATCACCCAGGCTGGAGTGCAGTGGTTTGATCTCAGCTCACTTCCACCTCTGTCACCCAGGTTCAAGCAATTCTCCTGCCTCAGCCTCCCAAGTATATGGGATTACAGGCACCTGGCACTGCGCCCAGGTAATTTTTGTATTTTTAGTAGAGATGGGGTTTCACCATCTTGGCCAGGCTGGTCTTGAACTCCTGACCTCGTGATCCACCCGCCTGGGCCTCCCAAAGTGCTGGCATGAGCCACCACACCCAGCAAAAATAATCATTTTCTTTAAAGACTAACTTCCTCCAAGCCTCCTTGCCTTCGTGCTAATAACTCTTTGTTAAGCTTTATCCTATGTAACTGTTCGATAGAAGGGAATAAGCACATTCTAAGTCCTTGTACTTTAACAAAGATATTTGTTCTGGACATGCTCAGGCATATCCCAGCTCGCAGCCTATGCCCCTTCCTTATTTGGAAATGTTATTACTTTTCTAAATCCTTTCTCAAGCAACTTCCTCTTTTCCTTTTGTTCTCCATTGCCCTTACCTATTTAGGAAAGTTTTAAGTTGTTAGCCAATCGAGTTTAGCTTAGACTGTGAGGTCCAGCTCCAATCAATGGAAATAGGATGCAGCAGTAACGACCCAATGCATAAGGGATAAATATTCCTGCCTTTCTTTGTTCATTGTGCTCTTGTGACAAGATTGGTGATGAGCAACACCCTTTCTGCAGAAAGTAAAATTGCCTTGCTGAGAAAACTTTTTGTCTGAATCCTGATTTTTCCTTGAGGCACTGAGAAACAAGCATTTTGTTTCTAACACCCATTTAGGAAAAGAAGCAAGAATAGAAGCGTCCTCTTAGTCTCCTTTCTGTATGAGCCAGAGTGGAGAAGACAGGGAGCATCCTCCAAATGTCTCCCCTCCCTGGTTTCTGGATCCTGACACCATGTTAAATATGCCCCCCATGGTTGTAGGCATGGTCCGCCAAGCCATGGAACCGGATGAGCTAAGTGATGGGGCTAACCACGCTTACCCATGCAGCCTTAGTTTATCCACCTTGTGTGATTTCCCTTTGACTTTCTAGAACCTGTGTGATTTGCCTGGCTGTCTGAAAAATGGATCTCCGGAGAGACTGTGTCACTTTTGGGCAAGGCTCCTTTAGTGGAGGCAATGTGCTAGATTGCCTGCTATTACAGCCCATGCTAAAGCACTTACCCTTAAAAAAAATGGTTCCGGTTAACTTCTGAATTTAAAATTACCTTACTAATTAAGTACTGTTTTAATCAGAGACATAGTAGGTGCCTTAAAAGAACGTAGGAACTGAATGGCCATTTTTCTACTGATGGGACAATAGTGGGAATAAAATCTGGCTGCGGAAGACTTTTTTTTTTTTTTTTTGAGACAGAGTCTTGCTCTGTCGCCTGGGCTGGAGTGCAGTGGTGTGTTCTTGGCTCACGGCAAGCACCACCTCCTGGGTTCACACCATTCTCCTGCCTCAGCCTCCCAAGTAGCTGGGACTACAGGCGCCCTCCACCGTGCCCAGCTAAGTTTTTTGTATTTTTAATAGAGACGGGGTTTCACCGTGTTAGCCAGGATGGTCTCGATCTCCTGACCTCGTGATCTGCCTGCCTCATCCTCCCAAAGTGCTGGGATTACAGGCGTGAGCCACCGCGCCCGGTCCCTAGGCATCTTACTCCTAACTGCTAAAGGCAGAAACTTCCCATTTCCAGAAGAAGCATAGAGCCTGATTTTTAATGGTGTAAAAAGAAGCTGCAGTGTTACTATAAAAGAAAAAGGAAAAAAATGTGTCTCATCTAGAGGATTCCTATTTCCATTAGGTGGCGTTGTTAGCTTAGAAATACTATGTGCTTGCCAGAGACGCGGTAGCGAGTAACTTCACTGCAGAGGAATGGGGAAAACTGTTCCTAGAGGCATTTTCCTGATCTTGCCTAACAGGATTTCTTTCCTAGGCTGTAAAAATACCTGCACATTTAAATCAGAGAAAGAGTAAGACGCCACGGATAGAGAAGGAAGAAGAGTTTTGCAAGAGAATAGTTGAGGGTTCTCTGCCAACACCCGAACAGGCTATTGGAGGCTGGGTCTGGTCCACAGGCCTGTGAATCATGCCAGGATGTCCCCTGGCCAGAAATTCTCAGTCACCTCAGAACTTTTCCCAGCCTTACTCAATGGCGAGGTCTCCCCGTGAAAAGAAACTAGTTCAAAACATGGCCAACATTCCCAGTACTCATGGGTAATGGGGGGGGTTCTCCATGTTCTCACCAGCAAGCCTCACATCTGAGTCTGTAGTAGGGCAGCCAATGCTAAGTGTATGTACTAGGCTGATGCATGCCTGTTCCTAAGGAAATACAGATGCTTACTCATGACTTTTTAGATGAATATATCTTTTTGGCTGCAGGCAGAGTAGGCTCTACATCTGAGAATATCACACAGAAAGTAGTTTGGGTTGATCTATTTGATTTTATTTTATAATAGAGGCCAAGAGCACCTTGTGAATGATGGAACAGATTTTAAGCTTGCTCTCATACTTACCGCTCCAACAAAGGCTGTACCTCAGTTTCCTGGCCAATGGATCAAAATGATATGGCTCCGATAACTGGAGGAACACCAGGGTTCTTAATCTTGTGTCAATTTAGATAAAATGACACGGACCCACGTGGAGTGGTTTTAAAGAGCGGAGAGTATAATAGGCAAGAAAGAAGGAAGGAAGAAGAAAACAGCTCCCCCGTACAGAGACAGAAGGTAGGGGGATTGGAACAAAGAGAAAAACTCCAAGTGTGACAGAGAAGTGGCTGCTTATATGAGGAGGCTGGAGGAGGTGGTGTCTGATTTGGATAGGGCTCAGGGGATTGGTTTGACCAAGCATGTCATTCAAGTAGCAGGAGAAAAAAACTGGCCCTTCCACCCTAGCCTTTTAATATGCAAATACAGGGCACCAGGATGTTTTACACATGTGTGAATATGTGGGAGTGTCCGTGTCGCCAGGCACATGTGGAGGCCAGGGCAAGAATAAGACTGCAGGAATTGCCATGTTTGG